GGACGGTCTGGTGACACAGTTTTTCGCCAGGTTCGGAGTTCCGAAAACGATTCACTCCGACCAGGGGCGGAATTTTGAATCTCAGCTGTTCGCTGGGATTTGTGAATTGATGGGCATTGAGAAGACGCGAACGACACCGTATCATCCACAGTGCAATGGATCGGTGGAGCGATTTAATCGTACCCTACAGGATATGACAAGGTCGTAGGTGAACATCGATGCGATTGGGATAAACATCTTCCATTTGTAACGGCAGCGTATAGGGGTAGTGTGCAAGAAAGCACCTAGCCTAGAAAAAGCACTAGCGAATGGACGCAAGCTGAGACAGCTATCGAGAAGCGATAACAGGCGCGTGCTGAGATAAAGCGCACAGCACCGAGCAGCGTACGTGAGGAGTCAACAGGTTATTACTGTTTGGAGGCGTGCGGGAGAAAAGCCAGATGTTTGGTTAAGCACGGGCCTCGATAAACGGGACGCCGGCTGCAGGCGCATACAACACCCGCACTCTGGGATAGCTCCCACATTCGAGAAACAAAAGAGGACAGGGAGGAAGCTACAGGACACCGTGGTCGTGGCGTGAGCACGTAGCAAGTGACAAGAGCGTACATCACTTGCGCCCTGAGTTTATTTGCGAGCGGAAGTACTGTTAGTAACCAAGCATTACGGAAGGAGTTGAGAGAAAAACCAAAACAAAGGAAAGAACCCTTAGGGTAGGGTGCGTCTTTCGTGCGAGTAAGGTTAATGTGACAACAGGCGATAGCGTAATAAAGTGTTCCTCTGAACGCAGGGAAAGTTACGTCTTGAAAGGAGCGCGTGGGCTTCATAGCGCTGGGATGGAGGAGACGCGAGATGAAACAGCTACCAACGAGGAAGATCGCCAGATTGAGGAGATCGTCGCCGGCATCTTGCAGGCGATGCTCCTGCGAGTGGAACAGGAAGCTACGGAGCGCGAGATCAGCGCGAAGCGGGAACGAGATGACCGCAACGCGGAACTCGCTGCTACGGAAGAGAAGGAACGGCTGGACGAAGAAGCGACCACCCTTTACCTCGAACAGCATCGCGAGGCTGAGGCGGCCGCCCTCCGCTGCCAAGAACAATGCGCATGCGCGAGCCGGCGGAAAGAAAGGGTGGAGGCTGGATTAGATAAACTCAACGACAGCAGTTGGCACAAGTGACGTATCTGTGGGGGCAGGCTTGCCTGCATGCTGAGGATGGATGAGGCGGCACTGGCGACGGCCGATCGATCCAGCACCCGCCAACAGCCGGGATACGCCGCGCAGAAAGAACCACGCCGCCAAAATGCAGACCGAGAGGTGGGACGACTCTGATACCGGACGGCAGACCCCGACCCAGATGGAGTTGGCGGACAGACACGGACCGGGGCGGACGATCTTCGTCGGCACGCCTCTGCCTCTGTACGACCTACCTTCAGTAGATTGGGCGTGGTGCGTGGCCTGCCGGGCACCCAACCGGCACCACGAGGCACACCACGAGGAATTGCATGTTCCACGGGTGATGTCATATCGGTGTCCGGTGCAGTCGTGCGACTACAGCTGTGCGATGGCGACGCCAACCCAGATGGGGTGTCACCTGTCCCTGATACATAAGAAGACTAAAGATTTCAAGCAGGTCAGCCGGCCCGCATTACTGGCCGGCCGGAGTGGGCAGACGGACAGGATATACCGGAGGGGACGCGGGGTATCACGCCGCTGGACCGAAGCTGAGGCCCTACTGTACCCTCCAGGAACCTGCTCTCCCATCCGGGCGGGTTCCTACCCAAGGAGGCAGGGCATGACCACTAAAGGAGGAAGGTAACAAATGCGACAAGCGACGGACGACGTCGGACGACCGCGGCGCAGCGTGACGACCGAAACGGAGCGTCAGGTGACATTTGCGACAACCGACAACGATAGACAACAGTCCGGAGGAGCGACAGCGTCCGGGGATTCCGGGTCATCACTAACACCGGAACCGACGCAGGGGCAGGGACTCCGGGCCACGGACGTCCTGGACCGCCAGCGGCCACTGATCGGCGCCACCAGCGAGTGGGGATCGGTAGTGGACGGACGCTTCTGTCGGCCGATGACTTGTCCAGACGTCGACATGGTGACCGAAATGTCTGATGCGGACTTGCGGAAAGCCGAGGTCCGGGCACTCAAAATCACCTGTTACGGAGTGCGACTGTCAACGGCGACGAGGGAAGAAGTGAGGAGATTGCGAAATGGCGCCGAGCAAGCCGAACAAGGCGCGCAGTAGTAAAGGGAGGAAGCACTGAAGAGAGGGTCTCCGCGCAAACGACGTCGGCGGAGAAAACCTCCACTATGGCAACCTGGACAGGGATCCCAAGTAATGACGCAGAGACTTCCGGAGCGGGAGCAGGACGACGACGGAGCTCTCCAGCCGCGACAACAACGACAAGGGATGGAGCGGAGCAGCAGAGCGTCCCCGTGCTGTGCGCATGGNATTATGGATTCCCAATAGCTGCTCTTGTAAGCTTTATATAGTGGGCTGGTGGGTTAGCCACCGGTTTAAAGTGTAATATTTTGGTCGTATAGGGGATATGTCGCGGTTGTGTAATATTTTGGGGGAGGTAGCGTATGGACATGACGTGGGAGACGGGGGTCGTGTCTGCCAGTTCTAGACTTCCGGGGGATACCCGACTCAGGAGAGTTCGGAGTCTTAGTGGGGGGGAGNAAAAAAAAAAAAAAAAAAAACCTGCAATGCACATGTGTCTGCAATGCATAGAGATTAGGTGGGTGCGAAAGTGTAGCTAATATATATTTGTTCGAATTGGCTACGAAAGTCAAACAAGAGTAAAGAAGACTTATGTATAAGACGTCTTGCTATGCACAAATGAATTTATCAGCAGAACACCAGACACCAGATGAGCCTTGTCGCACTGCGGCACTTGTTATTTGCAGCAAGCAGTTGAGGCGATTTACAAAATGTCATATAATCAGAAGTGTATAATAGAGATCGCTATTATACCCTCCTGATATAATTACACTAAATATTATACACGAATCATATTTATGATCCATATGTTCTTTTCACAGTTTTTGAGTTCCGTTTGGGTTTAGAAGGCTTGCACTACCACCATACAACCATACAACCATTTTGTTTGCAGTACGATGTTACATCGAATATGATTTTGCATATGAAGTTTAGGAGGGTCTAATCAACAACTTCCAACAATAAAACCTACTGTTGCAATTTTTCCGAGGATTTCATATATTGACTGGACTATACTGTCATACTATTATTACAAGTTAACTGTCCTAAGCAGCTTACTTCTGTGTGCCAATAATCCAAAGTGGAGACTAACGAACTAGTACATTGCTCTTGAAATGAATGATTTCAAAGCTGCGATTGTTCAACCTTTAAAGTACATGTCGGTGCGTCACCTGGTCAGTCTTGTTTCAATAGTATACTATATCAGTATGGTTCTATGTGTTTAATGAATTACTGGTCAATCGTATAGTATATTGATGCAGTAGCCAATATATTACTTGAGCTGTTTTTGGTGTTAGTGTTTTCACGTGATGCATATTTGACAATGTTTTTACGTCATACTTGCTACATTCCAATCAACTATATTCAGCATGTAAAAACTGTCACATGCAACATAAGGATTATCTGCATTTCCTGCAAACTTGTATAATAATAACTGTCGAATCCAAGTTTATGTCATTATTCTGTTTACTCTTGAATTCGTTTTTAAAAGTTTTTTTTTCCATCAATAATAATTTCTAGTATATGTGACTGATGAGCTTTCTATATCTAAACGTAGGGGTTTCCTCCCTTGCCTGTCTCTTCTTCTGTCAGTAATCTGTAAATCCATGACTTTCCATGCATTGAGCGTACTTATTAACTTTCACTTTTTTGCATGTAAAACATACATTGCCGTCGAATGAGAATACCAACAACGAATAAGCATGTTTATGCATAGTTACTCAAGTATTCTTATGGTTTGTCTGAGCGTTTTTACATATTTGATGAGCACCATTTCCATAGTGCTCAGCTAGTCTGCGCCAAATTATGTATGTGATACATTATGTCGTCCACTTGCGTTGTTTACATTTGACCCAATTTGCTTTTCATCTGAATAAATATAATCTTGCTCAAAGATCTACTGCGCATCTTCGTATTTATATTCGTATTTAGTCTTACGTTGAATCGTACGTACATTCTCGTAGCAAACCAGTCTTGCTAAAAAAGTTACTGTTTTGTGGCAAATACGCTAAATAGTAGTCAGGCTGTGAAGGTACTACAGTAGATGTACACGTGCGTTAACATGTTCAATGAACTAAAACCCACTGATGCAATGTTTTACGTGAACGATGTGAAACCATGAGCTCGTTAATATTCTGTCGTAACTCGTAAGTATCACAAGATAATTAGATTGTGCGACGCCAGCTTTAATTTCACCTCTCTTTGAGACGCCTTTACACGCCGCTTATCGAAATTGTTTAGGGATTAATAATATTAAAAGAAGCTTAGTACTCTATTAGACACCAACTGGACAATTTGAGAATAAATAATGGCATACAACACGTGGAGAGTCTGTTGGCTCTGCTAGAAAACGAATATGGAGTTAGCCTGATCTCGTGGAGATACATAGCTTACGCATGCATCTATAACATATTATCAGGAGTAAATAATAGCGATCTATATTATTCATTCCTGATATTATACAATGTTCTAGGTAGCTGGTTTAGTGCGTTTATATATATTGCTACAAAAGTCCATGGTGTATAAAAAAGTAATGTAACCCGACGTACCATTTCGGGCGGGTGAGTGACAGCACTCCTGGCCTGCACTGCTATATGGTATAGGTAATGTATAATGTGTGTGTGTGTGTGTGCGTGCGTGCGTGTGTGTGCGTGCGTGCGTGCGTGCGTGCGCGTGTATCTCTCTCCGTGTGTGCGTGCGTGCGTGCGTGCGTGCGTACGTGTGCAAGTAAGTATATACTATACGTACAAACATAAACACCTACGGTATATATTTACATCGTTTTAATAGGTATCTATACAATACAACACTTGAATATAGCGGCTTACTAGAACTACCCATTGCAGCATGTATAATATTACCATGTCCGGGCTGAATACACTTTACATCTGGTATTACGCAACAAACAAGCCTGACAAATTAGATGTTAAGTATAGTAACACATTAAACAGCGTGGTCTCTGTTTATAATCTAAAGTTTATGCTTTATCGTAAATCTTAACCATTAAACGTTATACTATAATATAACACTTGCATATATAAGTATTAATTGTTGGTTGTCAGTGATAACTCAAAATGATACTTGATACGTTTAAATAATTTGTTCCAGAAACACAAATCAACTTTTTATAGCTCGTATTCAGTCTCATGAAATGTTGAAATAAACTGTTCATCATATTGATGGTGACGTCAGTGTGATACACGTATTGTATACATCTACCAGTAATGTACGTATATCGTACTAATGATGGTAATAATAACATTTCAAATATTAATATTACACTATTGTAACTTGTATTTATTAATGATACTCTATTATTCTATACACTGCTCGCAATCATTACATATTCTTCTGTCAAATATCAGTCGGCGGCAAATCATTAGTTTGTCACCACACCTAACAGGAAAAACATTCATATATTGTGACATCCTAACGCACAACTCAAGGAAAGAGATATACAGGGAATATACATACCAAGAAGGCTTTTATCAGTTATTATTGTTAAACCCATATTATGATTCCGATAAATATTCGGACATTTTCCTACAATTAGGTTAATGCCACCTGAACTAGTTGTACTCGCTTTTGAGAAACAGCTGTTAAGCACACATCTCATCTTATTCGTGAATCGCCTATTACTTCTACTCCTACTGCTGCCTCTTTGCCTATACTCATGATCTGCTTCTGCTACACTGTGTTTGATACTACTGCTTTCCACTACATACTCATGATGTCTTGTTGTACACGCATGTTGCTTGCTTACAAAGGACATACATCTTAGGTTCGGGAGGTCAGAAAGGCAGCAGGGTGGGCAAAGCGACATTGCTCCCAATGTTATATGGACGCCGAACCTTGCACTGCGTGATTTGCCGTGATTTCAATGTTCTGGATGTACGAGTTTAATTTTATTTATTTAAGAAGCAGGCTCGCGCTGTATAAATAATTGGCTATAATCCGCAAGCATTAGAAGTTTAGCATCATCGCCGTCCGACTCTGACGCTGACATGTTACTAATACACACAGAATGAACGCACGGTTAAATGCGAGAACTTGTACGTGTAACAAAGACTGGTTAGAGGCTACAATAATCATAATTCCAACTACAATAAAATTGATGGCAAGTTAAATCTACGTAGCCGTGCAACTAGCACCAGTATCAGTGCACTCGGGAAAGTGACTTCCCGTTCTCCTTGATATATTACCATTGATACCCAACATATGTCGCCTAATTGGTGTGTCTCTTTACCCTTGACTGTTGCTCCATGGTAATTTTAAAATCTAAGTCTGCGTGTCATCGCAGTGGTTGAATCGTTTCCTAATATTATAGCCAGCCAGCGCCCGATCTTCTACTGGATCGGTCCGTTTAACTTATCTTACGCTGGCCCGTTTAAATGAATTTTCATTGCCGTATGTAAGCATGTATTCATGGGAACATGTGTCATGGGCGTTTGTTATATGGAAAATCGTCATTCCCTCGGCTGCTCATAAACGGCCAGTTACTTTCTGCGCTCCATGTGAGTAGCCTTCTCCTGTAAAGCAAAAACAGCACAAAATGTTACCACAATATTCAACCCGATTTTAATTTTAAAATTATTTGTTGTGCAATTTTCAGTGACAATACGTGTGAAAGTTTCGTGCATATTAGATGCTTTCGTTTTTTACTGTAAACGATAGTAGTATTGTACACATGAAGCTTGCTTTACAACCTGGAACAGTGAATAATTGTTACCTCTCCTTTGTCATCTAGTAGGCGAGTGGGGATATTTATGCCAACACCCCAGGAGGTCACGTCCTGCCAAATAATGTTTGATGGTGGGCTGTGGATAGCACCCGGTGCTCCTCTCGCCCAGATCTGTTTAATGTTAATTAAAGTACGTTACATCATATGGTCAGTCGTGTGCACAAGATCCATTAAACTTGTGATACTTTTCAAGCATGACCCAATATCAGACGACGGAAGATTTTATAACAGCGAACCATAATTCATTACAGCATAAGTGAAAAGAGGGAGGCAAGATTCTCTCTCCTCGTAAAGCAAAGCGCGTTCACAACTATTTTTCACTCAGCAATCTTACTACGTGTGTTCCCCACTACGGATCATCTCACCTTGCACTCCTTCTCGTGCTTCAGCGTGAAGTTGTCCGGGAAGGTAAAGAGCAGCTTGCGCGATGGCGTGATCCAGCGCTCCACCGTCCACCTGCCCACGAACACGTCCTTCTTCAGCTTAAAGCTGGCGTTCTCCAGCAGCACAAAGTGACCGTGAGCCTCGACCTCCGGAATCGACACTGGCCCCTGGTTGGTGCGGAACACCTCGGTCTTGGACGTCGACGTCGGCTTGATCTCGTCCCAGGAGACCGTCAGCGCACTCTCCTTACGCTTCGGTCGTCTAGGCGTCGGTTTCGGCGGCGGCGCTGCAAGATGTGACATCCGCGATGCAAAGATTACCTTTACTAAAAACTACTTCAACATATCTACTATTACTACTTTACTTAACCATATCCTACTATTACTACTTTGCTTAGCATAACTACTTTACTTAAACATGTCTACTATTACTACTTTACTTAACATAACTACTTTACTTAAACATATTCTACTATTACTACTTTGCTTAACATAACTACTTTACTTAAACATGTCTACTATTACTACTTTACTTAACATAATTACTTTACTTAAACATATCCTACTATTACTACTTTACTTAACCATATCTACTATTGTCAGACGCGTTCTCTCGAGTATAACTCAAATGTTGATGTTGCCAACTGATGCTGACTCGCGCACTGCAACATCACCGTCCTGTCAACGCTTCACACACCGCTGTGCGTCGGCCCCGATTGTCGACCACCCTGACGCGAACTGCCGCGACGAACTGTACACGAGACGTCGGCCGCCCGGGGCGCCCTCTCATGGTTCTTACCGTGCAATGTTTCCGTGGTGATGAGCACCTGCTGATGCTGCTGCACGCTGCTAAGAGTCGGCGCCGTCCTTCTCACTGCGTGACTCTGCGTCTGACGCACGATGTTAACGTTCTCCGTAGTCTGCTCGGTCACGCGCCTCTCCTCCATGCGCACGCGCATTTGCCTGCGACACGAAGACGAAAGAGAGGGGTATATTATCACGTCATTTTGTCATTTATACTAATGTGAGGATTGTTGTGCGTCTGTGTTCCCATTCTTTGTCCTTAGCCTGACGTTTGAAGGGTTGATAGGTTATGTCAGATCGATCATGCGTTAATACTATGGTTGTTGAAGACACGTGACTTTGTGTCATGGATACCTGCAATCTAGCGGCTGATATGTCTGCAAGAATCCGATCCATTTTTAAACTTGCCTAAATTACCTTTCATAAAATTACGACTACCCAACAGAGGTTAACCGAGTCCTTGCGAAAATCTCGCAAATCCGGTGTCTATTGTGTATACCTCTGCTCGATTTCCTTGCGTCTTCGTTCCTCTATCTCCACCCGCCTATGTTCTTCCATCTCTACCCGCCTACGCTCCTCCTGTTCTCGCTGCTCCCTAATTCGGCGTTCACGCTCTTCCATCTCCCTCTGGCGGTGCCGTTGTTCCTCTAGCTCCCTCTGGCGGCGCTGTTGCTCATCCAGTTCCAGCTGGCGGTTGCGGCGCTCTATGGTCTCAGTGCGCTCGATCTCGATCCGCCTTCGCTCCTCAATCTCAATCTGTTCCCGCCGCCGCCACTCCTGCTCCGCTTCTCTCATTCTGCGCTCCTCCTCCTCCCGCTGCAACTTCAGTCGCCTCTCTTCCTCCTCTATCTGTTCCTTTAGCCTACGCAACCTGTTGGCGTTGTTGGTAATAATAGTAAGCGCGATGGAAACATTCCTGTACTCAATAGGTGAGGACACCTCACTATATGGACTACTATAATAACCATGTATAACCACAAACTACTTACATATACTACAACAACGTGCGTATAGGTGGGTCCGCTTATCTCTATTGCAGTTGTCGATACGTATACAATCACTTGGGCAGTTTGATTTTGCGGTTCATATTCAAACAGCATGGATACCATCAAGAGTTAATAATACCTAAGGTTTTACTACCCAAGGTATAATACCCAAGATATTATTAGCTATTGATACCATCGTAATAAAAGTATCTGAGCCGTAAATTGGTGGCTGAGCATAGTTCACAGCTGTGATTAAAGCAGTAAACGCATGCAACCCTTTGCTCATACCTTGCCAGCTCTATTTCAGCCTGTCTGTTGTGGTCCTGCAGCTCTTGATATTCGATGGTGCTAGTCGTGTAGTTGTGGGTCTGCTCACGCACTAGCAGGCTGCGTTCATCAATCTGAGCTCGTAGCTTCTCCCTATGTCCTCGCAACATGGCCTCCAGCTCGGCAATACGTTTCCTCAGCCAGTCGTTCTGGTGGTAGCGGCAATAAAGATATTGACGGCGTATTTAAGACATGATACGAGTTCCCAGACTTGTCTTTAACTAAGCTAACATATAGAAATTCTGGCAATTGACCTATCCAATGATGTTGGACAAGACTGATTTTTAACGATTAATGCATTTAGTTTTTCACGTTCACGAATTATGGTGTAAACAGGATGTTTTCGGTTAAAAACTTCAGTTGTGCATGAGCATCCGCGTATAAGATGCGAGTTCCCGGACTTGTCTTTAAATAAGATAACATTTAGAAATTCCGCCGATTGACGTATCCAATGATGTTTGACCAGAGTCAGACCGGATCAGCTTCAGTTGTGCATGAGCTTTCGTCTTCAGTATAGACTACAGTGTGCAAACCTTTCTCTTTAGCTCCTCCAGTTCTCTGCTTCGTAGATCAGCTTCATGTTTAAGCTGCGTATAGTCAGTTGTGTGAGTCTCCACCACTTCTGTGATCTGTGTACAACATAACAAGTCCATTCGTCCATACTTCCAATCGATTTTCTCATTTCTTTCTCTAGCCCTAATGTTTCGCGTGCTGATATGCGTGCGTGCTCACGTGTGCGTGTGTGTGCACTTTCGCATGTTTGTATCTGCGTGTACGCCCACCGCGTGCGCGCTTGTGTACGTGTTTGCGTGAATGCGCGTGCGTGCACTACGTGCGTGCGTTGGTGCGCGCGATGTTGCATGAGCGTGTGGCCTAGTGAATGCGTTTATCTATCTGACGAACTTTACTGACAAATTACATACGATGGTGTTCAAAGCACTTCCGTGGTATGGAATCAGTCCCGGGTTTTCTCTGTTGATCGTATGTAGGATGGTCAGGTAATCCTCCCTGCTCATATTCGTCCGCATTCTCTCCTGCTTCTCTTTAAGTCTGAGCTTCAGCTTCTCAATCTCCTGCAGATGTAAGTAATCATCGGGGATGTCATAACCTGACACGGGTAAAGCCAAAACATTTACACGTGTACGGCTCTAGACCTATAGTTTCAAGATTTTTACATTGAAGTGGTTATAATAAGAGAATTATTGGTCAGCCGATGCTGAGACCCGGAGGTGGGCAGAATGAGGAGCAGATGGTGGGAAGTACCCGGACCAAGTTCGTGGTCATTTTACCGATCAATGGCAGTGATTAGCTATTTGATTTCCCCGTGCCTCGGCACTGATCTGACGAGTGTTTAAAGCCTATGCGAAATGGACTATATTTCTTTCAGTAAAATACACTAAACAATCATTTTTTATCATATTATTGCTTACCTTTAGGTATTTTATCACAAATTTGTGTTTTTGTATCTTTTAAAGCAATAGCAAGTCCAGTAAAATCAAAATTTTTATTGATGCATAGATAGTTAAAAAAAATAACACAGCTACACATTACTATGTTTAACAGACGTGTTTTTCTCGCCTCCGCATAGGCTTTAAGCGTTAAAGAATTGAGTTAAGCAAGTATAACCTCAGGTAATACATGCAACACGGCCTCAAACTGCGTCGTTGGATATCCGCCAAGTCACGGGGTGGCAACGAGAACGTTCGATGGTTGCAGTATTTGGTAGAGCCATTGAAAACCATTGTGACATAAAGAAACATTGGCAACCAGCGTTAATGTTGTATATAAGGGAAGTGAACGCACCGATTAGCCCAGAGATTTACTAACCTATACTCAAGTCTAAGATATGGCGGATTATAGTGCTGTTGCCTGTTAGGTGCGTTATAGAGACTTTGAATTCAAAGAGAAAGAGAGAGGACGAGTCAGAGAGAGTCAGAGAGAGAGAGAGAGAGGGAAATATTGTACTGGGAAATAATTCATTGTAATGCGGTTTCTCGCGAGAGTTTTGTGTGTTTTTTGAGTTTTTCACATCTGTCACTCTTACTTCTTCTGTAGTGACACGACTGCATTGGGATCAAGCCCGTACAAAATTATTTTGTCAAATTTATTATTTTTAAACAACGTGCACTAGGCCTATATACGATGTTCTACAGAATGTAAGGCAATCGCGAAAAATGTTTTGCAATGGCGCTCTCGTGTTAGCCTACCTCACTGTGTTGTCTTTCCTTGTCTGCTTTCCTCTGCTGAATAATCTTGATCTTTTCCTTGATGTCCCACGTGCGAGCGCGATCATCATTCGGACCCTGCACATCAGTTACCAGTTAAACTTCATCGCCGAGGAATTTTATTCCACTCGGACTATCACACAACGTCGCCAGACTAAAATGATATTTTTTGTAGGCACGACAGTAGCAGCAAAATCTTTCTTATTTAGCGATTCTTACAGTCGGCATTGACACAGTCGACACCGGTGGCAGGATTACGAGGTGTTGTGACAATTAATTACTTGCACTTTGAGATACACTTTGGGCTACAAACCTGACAAAGCCCGCTAATGTTTAAGAAATGTCGGAGGTTCGCGCCTATTGATTAAATTTGTATGGCATCATATCAAAATCTGCGTGCTTTTCTAAGATAGGTAACTACACTACATATATATTATATGTATATTATTTTTACTATTTGCAAATCAACCGTTACACCTATCGCCCCACGCGTTTAATTAAATCGCAAGGTGACAATGTTGTGTGTTTGGGTAATAATGATGTGTTTCACCTCTAGCTGTCGCTTCTCTCTCGTCAGCTTGTCTAGCATCTCGACCAGCTCCTGGCAGTCTCTCTGCAGGCTCCTGATCATCGCCTCCAATGCTGTTATCTGACCTTCCTTCTCCTTGATCTGCAGCTCCAGCATACGTATCTCCTTGGAGTAGTCCTTACTTTCCGAGAGCATGTCATTGTAGCTGCAATGGTCGAAGCGCGTACGTAATTAGACACGCGTACTATAACCGTTCGTTGATGCGAGGACTCCGCTCGTAACTGCATCAGAGGAGAGAATATCTACGGTTAGAGCAGCCAGCATGTGAGAGAGGCTATTCCTGCAGAGGCGTTGAACTTTTTATTTCCTTCGTATTATTAAGATGAGAGGGCGGCAGATGGTAAAGAATTTCACAGTTGGTAGCCGTGAGAGAGGGCGGTACAGAACAATGGTATATTATATGGCGTATATATATACAGCGTTACATGGTTCACACGCCCACCTACGTGATACAACTCGTTCCCTGTGGTTATAAGTGCTATGCCACAGGAAAGAAATGCACAGAAGTTCGAGAGAATGACCTGGGGTCAGAGCTGATGTAGCAAAACATATAGCAATAATAAGGTACATGCACGAACAACAGTATACTGATGAAGTAGATGCTAGGTAGTTTATCGAGTGCTCGATTGGTACGAGCAAGAGTACGAATAGTTAGCTCCAAGAAACGGTATTGCTAGGGTTAGAATACCGAATATAGACAATCCGTCGCACAGCCTGGTCGGGCTAACGAATAGTAAGCATTAAACAGGGGAATTGAGTTTCTGAGCTGATAAACACAGATAATTGTGTCTTAGACGAAATATGTAATGGCTTGCCGTCTTTAAGTACGAAACAATAATTAAGGTGAAGCCAAAACTAACTCAATATAATTATAGGAAAATCCACGCATCACAGCGAACTCGTGTCTATGACATTGTTAATTAATTGAAATAATAGTGGGTAGTCGTAAGTGATTCAAACCCACGTGAAATGGATTGCGCGAGTAGTATAGGTAGCGATAAGGTAGAATGTACAATAAAACTTTTTCTTTTGAAACGCTGATCTTACGCGTATCTGTAACTCCTCAGAATATCTACTAAACGAGCACCAGGCGGGGTGATACTCCATTAGGAGTGTTCTCAACTTTAATATCATTAATGGTCATAAAACATATATATATATATATATATATATATAGGGTTAGGATTATCAATCATCAATCATTAATCATTAATCATTAATAATATCAAAGTTGGGAACACTCCTAATGGAGCGTTAGCCCGCAGGCGGCTGCCAAACTATGTAGCAAGCAACCAAGGAAGATTGCCATGGCGAGATGGCGAGCAGGTTATACCAGGGTTGGGCAGGAGACACACGTACAGCTGGGCTGAGCGGGAAGACATTTAGACAGCTCGTTATTACGTGCAGACACGCTTGTGCTTTAAAATGCGCGCAAAACCTTGCAGCTCTTTTCCTTGCACACTCGTCCCCACGCCGGAGGAAGGGAGCTCTTTGGAATGTAGTCGATCAACTTTTCAAAACCGAAACATAATGCGTCGTAACGTTAGACCCTCTATGCCTGTTGGGTTTTGCGTTAAACCTATCAGATAGGAATCGAATATGAGTTTCCCACAATACGAATCAGGAATTTTTTTTATAAATAGTAACAAGAGTTTCATGCGGCGATTTTATAAGAAACTTCTGAACACCACTGCTCGAGGCGTATGCCATACCTATTTGCATGCATAGCTTTGGCGTGATTGATGGCACGCGTTTTAGACGGGCCACCCATATGCTATATGTTTTATATTGATCAGAGATGTTCCGCAATGCTCCATGCAGCCGGCACGTGATTCGCCTGCGAAGGGTAGCACCGCTTGTTGCGACTGTACTTGTAAAACTTAGAGTACCTCCATAAAGACCTCTTTATGGAGGTACTCTAGTAAAACTACATTGCCGTTTTTTATTATAAATGCGCGACTCGCTACGCGGCTCCATTGGTCAAGGCGTTGGTAGGAATTGTGTTGACATTTTAGCGTGTCTAATCTTTTGCTGTGATAAAAATCGGTAGATGGAAGATACCATTAAGTAACATGCTTATCTCGCATACGTTTGGCGTAGACTTTTAGTAAACATGAAGTGAGTGCATGGTGGGTAATTTTTATGTGACCGGCATTTTCATTTGTGTGTGCGCGTGCGTGCGCGTGCGTAGGTTACGTGCATGCGTGCGTGCGTGCGTGTGTGTGTGAACGTACTTGCGTGCGTGCGTGTGTGTGTAAACGTACGTGCGTGCGCGCGTGCGTATGTGCGTGCGTGCGTGCGCTGTGGTTGATGGAGAGAATTCAACAGGGCTCGTAATTTCAATATCGATATTGGCCTTCACCCATGATACTATCAGGAGTAGATAATAGGGTATATAGGATATCCCTATTATCTACTCCTGATACTATTATATATGTGGCCATGCAGCTACCGCCTCTCGGCGAACGTGCGTCTGTCGCGATGTGCTGGTAGTCGTGCCCCGCGGCGTGCTTATCGATAGGAAAAGTATAATATGAAGGTGTGCGACGCCACACAAGAGCAAAAAAAGATGTGGGACATGGGGGAATGCCGCTATTGACTCTCGTTCCAGGGTCGAATGATTCGCAGATTATCCGAACGTCAGCGCTTCGAAACGTAAAGCTCTGTAAGTGGTCTTTCTAAAGACGCAGTCCAGCTATGTTTATATTCGCCGGCGTCGGTATATATACTGCGGGTGTAACTGCAGGTGTCACCTTTGCGGATTGTACTAGAGATGTAAGAGCGCCAAGGGCTGACTATATGTACGCATAGACCACGTGGAACGCTAGCTGCATTGTATATTGATATTTTAATCGAATGATTGATTGTCGGCGCCAGGGGAAGCGATGAAGTTATCTTTCTTCAGCCAACGCACCTTCGGCAGAAATCGGCGTCTTGGTTGAAAGCGAGGATCTATCCTTTCACAGACATTAAACATGGCTCTGGCCTAGAGAGTCTGAGGAGTACTAAACGTTGTTTTGCGGTGCTACCTATTTCAGTATATATTTTTGTTAACGCTAAGGACGTGTCTTGTATAATAATCATAGTAGTCAAACATGGACTGTGCTGGGTAGCATAAATATGGCACTATTACACTGCAAATCTTCCAAATCGTAAAAGTTGGCATAAATTAGGGATTTGAGCGATCGAAACGCTTCGGCAAAATCCGCATTCGTGCTGCCGCCTTGTTGTACATATAACAACTTACTGCCTAATAAACAAGGACAATAACCATTTACCCTTTGGCAATATACTAGAATGACGGTTAACCTATTTTCGATGGCCCAAATCGTGAAACATCATGTATGTTTTATCTTACCATGCATTTGTATTTGCTGGTAAAGTTTGGGTGTGTCGTGGTGTAACTCTTATAGTCACTAAAATGAGCGCTGATCGCTATCTAAATTACGTAGCGGCGATATAATTGCTGAAACCCCGCGATAAAGATACCACAGATGCAGTATTTAAATAAATAAATAAACGAAAAATAAATAAAAAATAAATAAGCAAATACATAATTAAAGAAACAAAGAAAAAACTAAAGGCAATATTGTACTGTGTGCACACGTGCGTGCATGCGTGCAATATATTCGGTAAAATATTTTCGGTAAATTTTTCGGTTAAATTTTGTAAACCAACTCCGCCAGAATATATTCGCTGTGATATCCCCCTATGACATTATATACTTATTACTACTTCGTATCATTCTCAAAATGTCCCTGCCACAGTGTCACCTTATCATAATTCTCGTTATAATATTTCCCGTCACAACATTCGCGTTGGCTCACGCTCCTGGTGATTTCCCCTGGTGATCTGTGTAGCAAGCAAACGCCTCCTCTAAGTCCTAATGAAAATATGAACAAAGAATCAAATGTAGGTTTGGCGACATTGGCATGCGCGCGCACATCAATGCCCCTTTAGCGTTGTTTCTTGCCAAAGCTAGCTAAAACGGGATCAGGTTTACAACCAAGGACAGTCGACGGGTTTTGTAAGCGTCGTGTTGGTGTGATGACTTCGATTTGTTTCACGCTTTATTTTGGCACTTTCCAACTTTTTCAATCACATGTTTATACAAAAGCGTTTTGCAGGAACGCAAATTTATTCTCGTTTGCCTAAAACACTCCTGTACGGGTGATGCATAGATACAATAATGTAATCCAAACACAGGATAGGGGTGGGTTACATTATTGTATTTGGGGTGACGCACTGATTAGCTGAGGCTGGTATGCAATGCAAATGTCAAGTGAACGACTATGCGATGTTATAAAGGGGCGTGGTTATAGTTGTAGGTAAAAAAATGTTAAATCCCTATGCAGTATACAACAGAAAACAAAAGTCCATTAAAGTAAAAATACAGCATTCCAAATTCATGGCAAATTGCTAATTAAAAAAAAACATATATCTGCTAAAATCTTCTTCTTTGTTCTATTCCTGATTCCACATATTTCTTCTATAAGGCACGTAGACACGTTTAGTTTATATTCCAGCAGCAGCACATGAAGATGTTTAGGATCAACATTGTATATTGCGTATTTTCAGCGTTTCGCCTTCTAATTAGTATCGACGTTAAGACTTAGTTACTAACGTCTACTAAGTTAGTATAAAATACGTTGTTTTTATTATCGACATTCGTTCACTGTCGATTGATTGCGAAAAACATATACGAAACACACCTGGGAGTACACATATACGAGGGAGTACGGAATGTGCCGTTTGGGATTAATAATCTGCGGTTTATTAATTGTTAATTTATAGTTAATTATTTCTGCGGAGAGTAAATGAGATTATCTACGTGTGCGTGGTTGCTCGTAGTTTTCCTCGACAGCCATAACGGCACGCGTTCCGCACTATTTATAACGGTATCGCAATGCTATTCGAACTTCCTTCACAAAACGTCTATTACTCCTGATCTCGGTATTCCTAACCCTGCATATAGCAGCGACGGTTCACAGCGGGTGATCGTATCGCGTGAATTCAACCACGCGTTCGGACATGCGCGTACCGGAAATTAACGACGTGTCTGAAGTCTTTTAATATGACAATATTTCATTTAAAAAACGGCGTAAGTGTTTAGTTGCTATGTTATGCTTAACTCTATTATCGCGC